CATTTATGTCATCTGTTAAAAGTTTGATTCATCTATGCCATTACCGTTTGAGAAAAGGCTCATTCATGCCATTATTTTTTAACAGTGATTTTGCAAAATCATTTTTTACACATGGCCAATTATAATTCGGCCACGTCAATATTATCAAAATTCTAAACAAAAATTGAACTAAAATAACCCACTCAACCCACCCAAATTTTAAAAAGTCCCTATAACCCATCAGTAACCCAATCCTTTCATTCACTTTTAATCTAAAAACCCTAACTAAGAAAAGAAGTTTCTTCACTTCTCTAAGGACGGCGAACTCTTCGCCTTCTCCGACTAATTTTGCACTCTTAAATGTGATCAGGCATTTCAGTTCGTTTTATTAAGGTCCTGCTATTCTAAAGCACTCTTTGTAATACTTTTTCCAAAAATAAATTCATGCTAATACTCAAAATCAGAAAATAGTGATTGCTTTACTAGGTTTGAAGTCCAATGAGAAAGAGAATAAAAGCCGTGCAATCATTTTTTGTAATAAAATTAGATATTTGGTGCTACCCTGTAAAAAGAATATATATAAATCAAGGCATAAAGTGAAAAGAATTTATGTTTACTTCATACCATTTCCTTGGGTGCTTTTTAGATTGAAAAATTGAATTAAAGAATTGGGTTACAGATGGGTTATAAGGATTTTTTAAAATTTGGGTGGGTCTTTACTTGGTGGGTTATTTTAATTCAATTTTTGTTTAGAATTTTGATTTTTTTTATTAAAAAATAATAATGATGTGGCTGAATTATAATTGGCCACGTGTAAAAAATGGTTTTGCAAAATCACTGTTAAAAAATAATGGAATGAATGAGTCTTTTCTTAAACGGTAATGGCATAAATGAGCCAAACTTTTAACGGATGGCATAAATGAGTCTTTTCTAAAAGTTCGATGGCATATTTGAGCCTTTTCCCAAACTATTATTCATGTAGTGAAAAAAAAATCGTCATTAATTTCCTTACTCTAATAAAATTCATCAACCTTCAAATCTTATCTATAGTCTCTATTATTGTTCGATGAAGAATTTAATCTATACTCAATAAGAATTTTACAAACTTGAGCAGCAACCACCTGTCGATTATGCTCAACCCCGATAATCTAGTGATTTCCTCAAGTGTAGAAGGCGTAAATCCTTCACTATTAAAAGAAGAAATCAAAAGGGTGTATTCATACCCAAGTCCAAGACGATTAACGAGAACTTCAAACTTGAAATTGGTGCCAAGATTGCGTAATTTGGGTGTGAGAGGTGAAGGGGGTTGTCACGCCCCAAGTCTACACCCTGGCGGGACCGGCACCCGGAGACCATTTCTGGCCCCAAGCGAACCCTTGGCCTGGCTTTCTTAACTCAGCGGAAACCTAACCCAATAGAATAACTCAACACAAATGCAAGGTTACAAAACAACTTAACTTATAAAATCTGGCCACAAAGACAACTCAAATCTCAAAATAGAATATTTACATATATACATAGATGAGAGACTCAAAACTAACTGACTAACTGTCTATGAAGCATCTAAAATACTGAGATGGATGTTGGGACAGACCCCGCAACACCCTAATAAAACAAAACTAATAACACAAAATAATTGAGTCCTTCGGAATGCAAGGAGGCTCACCACTGACTCTGGAGTGCTCAGCTGGATCAACGGCGTACTGGATGTTGATCCTGGGTACCTGCGTCTGCATAATAATAAGATGCAGGGCAACTGGCATCAGTACATGGAATGTACGAGTATGCGAGTTGAAAAGCTAAACCACAACTTAAGCTTGAAAAGAGTAGAAGGGAACTCTTACCTTGGCTCTGTTCGACTCATGAATAACTGAACTTAATATATAAAGCAATAAGACACATGCAATATATACGGCTTGTAAAACAGTATAAACAACTTAGCTTGTTAATGATAAAACAATAACAACTCAACTTTACTTATATAAAAGTAATATAACTTATATGGGAGGTTCTTTAACCGACAACCACCACTATGAGCCCTAGTGATGATACAATGTTTTACCTCACGTTGCCCAAGGACCATCCTATATCTTGTCGTGATATAGGAAGCTAACTTTACTAAGTGGATCCACTAGCTTAACTTTCGTGATCATCTAAAAAGTATGACCCAAGAAATCCCATGTTGGCGCATGGTTCTTATGGAGAGTTGAGTTAATATTAACTCGTGTCCCCAATTCGGTGCTCAATACTACTCCCAAAAATACTTTGGCTCATAAGTGTCTTTAAACACATCTTGCTTTAGTTGAGGTAATTACTCAAAACTTAGCCCAAGGCCTCTTTTGGAAAACATGGTTCCCCTCTTACTCAAATGTAAAAACATTTATAAACTCCTTTGGAAATACTTAGTTCCCTAATAGCCTTTTGAGAAATGAACTCAACTTTAAACTCTTGACTTAACTTGAAACTTGAGACTCTTACTTAGCTTGAAAACCTATACTCTTATACTTGACTTGAAACTCTATACCCTTTTACTTGACTTGAAACTTGAGTCTTGAAATGAAGTTAAAACATTCACTAAAGACTCTTGAACAACTTTAAAAAAAACTTGCTTTGACTTACTTAACTTCTAAGCTTGGCTCTAACTTCACTTGACTTCTAACTTCACTTAACTTGGAAACTAACACTCCTTGAATCTGATTATGAATTCAAGGTGTTTGATCACATGTTATGGATGAGTTTGGGATGTTAAGATGCACCTTAAAGTATTGGAAACAACTATAAAACATAGGTACTTTACCAAGGAACATGTATGAAAAAGTGGGGAATGAAAGGTAAAGGGAAGGATTGGCGTCCTTGGCGCTCTAAGAGGTGCAGGGCGCCAGCCCTCAAACTTCAGAGGGGCCTGCTGGGCGTTGTGCCAGGCGCTCTGCCCCAAGGGGAAAGTTCAGCGTCCCTTTTTAGGGTGCGCTGGCTGGCGCGATAGCCAAGTCCTTTTCCCCTAAAAATCCTACTTTTTCCCCTTGTTTCTTTCAACTCTAAACCCTCTCAACCTCAAAGGTTCCAGCAGCAAAATCACAACCAAATTATGTCCCAAATCAACAAGGAACTTCAACACCACAATCAACAACACAACCAACAACTTCAACAACACAACCAATCTTTTCTTGAAAATAAAACGAATTTGGAGTGTGGGGGAAAGGACCAACCCCAACAATAAGGATCATAAAATCCCTCAACGTACAAGAGATTCAACTCAAAAACACAACCAAATCATGTCCCAAATCAACAAGGAACTTCAACACCACAATCAACAACACAACCAACAACTTCAACAACACAACCAATCTTTTTCGAAATTAAAAACGAGTTTGGAGTGTGGGGGAAAGGATCAACCCCAACTCTAAGAACTCACATACCTAGTAGGGATCACCCCCGACGATATCCACAATGATCTTCTTGTTTGATCTTCCCTTTCTCCTCTTCTTCTTCTCTTCTTTCTCTCTTATCTCCCAAGCCCTAACTCTCACTCTTTTAAAATGGGACAAACTGATCTAAAAATCAGTCTAACACAATAATATAACCAAAAGAATTGGTTAGGAAAAAGACCAAAATACCCTTAAAATTTTTGGGCGGATTTCTCTGCCAACTGCCCAACTTCCAAAGGGCATAACTCCCTCATACGAACTCGAAATCGAGCAAACTCGGTGGTGTTGGAAATATCATTCCACAAGCTTCGTAAACATAACTAGAACTACTCCTAAATCATTCTGAGCTAGGAGTTATGACTGCTCAAAGTTGGCCAAAAACTCACTTTTTCCCACACTTGCCAAATTTCCAAATTCTGAACTTAGCCAAATTTCCAAATTCTGAATTTTTCCAAAAATGACTACTTCCAATTTCAAGCTTCTTCATATTCATTTTAAATTGTCGGATGTTACAGGGGTGGTCCAAATGGTTGATAAAATTTTTGTGGTGATGGTGGTACTGTTGATAAATAGTATTGATTTCGTTTACCTAAAAGAGGGATGATAAGTGGATATGAGTCTTGGATTGAGATATGATTTGTGAGTTATGGAAGGTGAGGGTGAGGTTGGGGGTGGGATGGCTAGGGAGAAATGGGGGTGGAGAGAGATAAAGGTTTAGGGGAGTTTATAGTGAAATAAATTAAAACATGTCTCAACACTATGGAGACATGAAGAGTAATTATAATGTTGGCGATGAAGAAGAACAACAACAATTACCTTGATATATCTGATATTTGACAGTTGATAGCGCGTGTATACTACATGTGAAGAATGTGGTTATTTAGTTTTAAAGTGGTATAGTCCAAGGGGTAATAGAACTCCCATGAAATATAAGTATGTAGTTGAGAATTTGGTTATAAGTTGAGGGGTAACTATTCGGTTATAGAATTCGGTTATAGTTGAGAATTCGATTTAAAGAAATACTAAGTAATTTAAAGAAATACTATGCACAAAGTAATTTATCGTATTAAGATGTGTTGTGTAAATTTAATTACATATTTTTAAATGTATGTTCTTTAAAATGCTTCTCAATACTGGCTTCTTTTCTACATTTATGAATTTGATAGATACTATTAATTATCTTATTCTTGATAGTTATTTTTACCTTTTATTTGTCTTTTAGTCCTACCAAAAAGAAATTGAGAGAGAAGAAAAATGGCTTGATAATAGAAAAGTATAAAAAGTATAAAAGCATGGCATTCCCCTTTTGTTTCATTGATCTGAAAAATAGTTTTAAGAATCAATCAAATTACAACATAATACATGAAATGAAAAAAAAAAGAATTCATACAAGAAAAACAATACTCAAATTTCAAATGCCAGAGAATCAAGAAAGGAAGAGTCTCCTTGACTCACCCCCTCCCACACCAACTCAATAATCTATGTTGTCCAGACTTTTCAAAAATATTGCTAGGGTCATATCGCATCCTCCAATGACTTTGCATGCGACAACACTTCTGAAGGGTCCGAACAACATAGAGAATACATTAACAAAAATTACTTGTTCCAATTGAACAACCCAAAAAAGAATGACTTCTTATTCACAACCCTACATGATGTCCTCACTTCTCCTTGTCCATCAGTTAGTACTTCAACTCTACCCAATTTCACCATGGCTTCTCCAAACTTAGTGTAAAAATTAGGGTCTTTGACAATATCACCCACAATTTTCTTTGTCAAGCCATCCAATGCTAGTTGTTGATCAATTTTAAGAACCCCATTTCCCTTTTGAATTTCTTGAAAAAATGAGTTATCTACAAATGATGGACTCTTCATATCAAGAGGAATAGGGTTGTCAACAGTATTGGATGGAACTCTAGGACACTTATTCTTTAACTCGGAAAATAGCCATTGGCTCATGGTTGGATCATGAACACCTGTATTATTGAAGTTGTATATCCTATCTTGGATGAGTGAGCAATGAGTATTTCCAACAGTGTGGCCACCTAGAAATATTGAAAATCCACACATTAATTCAATGAAAATAAAGAAGTAACTATCAATAAAATGAATTGAAAATCATCAGATATCAGAGTTCAAATTTCACTAGAACAAAAATGAATAACTAGGTGATTTCTTTTTATGCCTAAGTCTTGATAGTCAAAGTTATAAAGCGACCATGTTGGTTATGAGGTAGCAGGTAGTAGCGAGGTAGAGTCACCGATTTTAGAGTTATGATTTCGGTAGAACCAATTATTATTATTTTTGGCTTGAGCCTTGTATTTGTGTTTAAAAATAATTTAATATATATAAGTAATCTATTCAAAACGTAAAAAAGAATTGTGGTTTAAAACCCTTGAATAATTTAAAATCATATCTCCACCTTTGAATTATCGATAAAATAATCGAGTCGCTTGCAAGTTAGTTTAAATTCTACCATCATAAAAGAGAAGATGAAGGTTAATAAATAAAAAAGGCTTTTACAAAAAAGCATCCAAAGGTGTACCCTAATTGACAATAAAATGAAGTGTAAATCATAGAGACTGTTGTATTGAAATCTTAGTTAAAGTTTAAAAAAAAAACATGTTAGGTGATTTTCAAAGGATCACTTTTTTTTTTCATTTAATCAAAACGGACAAGTTACTTGACTTTGAGCGACTTATCCTTAATTTAAACTCGAATATACAAAATAGGAAATTACCTAGAAGATAAACCATGTCTGTTGGAGAAAGATTTTTATTGCCAAAGACTTTGATGGAATCAGAGACTGAAATTGATGGAGAAGGAAGATTCACATTTGATGCTAAGGAAACTTTCCCATCCTTTCGTCCTGTTTCTACATTGTACCATTTTCCTCCACTCTGTCACATTTTATAATAAAAAAATAATACAAAATTAGAGTGCATATCACAAAAGATAAAATCTCTAATTTATTTGATAATAATATAATTTAAACTTCTCTTTTTACCCTTACTAACAAGTTTATACAACTATAAAAATATTATGACATGTTTAACATAAGTTTCAAAAGCATTATATTCACATAAATATTACGTTACACTCACTCTGTCCCAAATTAATAGTCACTTGAGCTTATAAAAATCCGAAGTAATCGTCACTTAAGAATTTTAGGATTAAAGTTACGTTAATAATTATTTTCAACTATACCCTTAATATTAAAGAAATTTGAGGGAAAAAAAAATCTACCATTATTAAATAGGGGTGACTTATAATTAGTAAATTTATGTATACCTTATATCTTTATTTTATTTTTAATGAACATGAAAAGAATAAAAATGTAATTTACCAAGACAACAGCATCTCTAGCTGCCATAGAAATAATGTCAGCACAAGAGACTAGGCCTTTGCATCTTTCCTCTAAAGCTTCTTTAATTGCATCAATGAGTGGGTATCCCCTAACACTTGAATTTGGGAGTGCTTTTTTCTCACTATTGTTTCCATCCAATAGAATTGATGCATCACAACCCTATTCATATCATGTACATAATAAAATTATTAGTACATGATTCAATAGAAAATTGAAAAAAAAAATGAGGAAGAGATTATAAAGTGAAGAATCGAATCATTACTAATAAGGTAAAAATTCAGGTATCAAATCAAACAAAGCAACAAGGTGAGCATTCTCTTTTTAGTTTCTTACATAGGGCAAGCATGTTTGATTGAGCATGTTAAAAAGATTTGTATTGTATGTCAAAACACATTGCCACAAGGAAATATTTGTTGTTATATATATTTCATTAGACGTTCCTTCCTTTTTAGTCTATTTCAAAAATAATAATAGAATTATTTTGTTATATGCAGAGTGAGGATAAACTAATGTTTTTTACGACAAATACAAAACTTGAACAAAAACTATTGCATTCAGCAGAATTCATAGTTGATACAGCTAGCTAGCTCCACCCCTATACATATTCTATAAAATGATTAAACCTTAAACTTCTAGTTTAATATCGTAATGATATAATTTTATGGCCTTGAAAATGTCGTTTCATATTTAAAACCATGATTTAGAAATAAAACTTTTCTTTCAATCCTTCTTTTATTAAGTTTCGTGTGTCAAATCAAGCAACTTCACTTAGTGATGGATCCATAATTTTCACCAAGTTTGAAAAAAATCTTTCCTTCTTTTATCAAGCTTCATGTGTTAAATCAATCAACTTCACACAGTAATATGAAGCCAGAATTTTCACTATGTTTGAAAAATCTTTTTCTTTTGTCAAGCTTTGTACATGGATCAATATAAACAACTTCCACATAAGTGAGACGGGAAAAGTAACAAATATAAGTGGTAAACTACTTTTATCATCATGACTTAAAATCTTGTATCCGACTCTGATACCATAAAGGAGGACTTATAAACAAAAGATATTAAAGAAGTAGAAAAAGCAAGAGTTAATTTAAGTTTCTTACATTAACAAAGCAATCATGAAATTGCATACGTAGAAGAGCAGCTGCAATAGCAGTTTCCCTCTTTGTATTATGCCATGTTTGAACAACATTTTTAACAAGTACTTCAACATCTGTTCTACCACATTTTCCTTTGTAAAATCCAAATCTAAGTTCCCCATGACATTCACCACAAAATGCCACAAAAAATAATGCAACCACAAGTGCCAATGCTTTAGACATTTTTGCCAATTTTTATTTTTTTTTTGCTTTTACTTAAATTAATGTGGATGAAATAAACACATTTTATGATCCTCTTTATAGTATTTTGCTAAGTTTATTAAGTTAAATAGTTTATGCTTTGCACGACTATTTTAAAGCTATTGTTATAACGTGCCTTCAAGTTCTTGGAAGTAAGTAAAAATGAATAGGTGTATTCAGATTATATAGTTGAAGTTTGGCTTAACATAGTCTTAAATAATACTCTCCGTCTCAATTTATGTGATATATTTTGCTTTTTGGGAGTTAAAGTTGACTAATCTTTGAAGCTGGATTAGATTAGATTGACTCAATATTTTAAAGTAAAAAATTTAGATATTCAAATGTTATATGAAAAGTATTAGGGCAAAGGGTTTGAAAAATACTTCAACTTTGGCCGAAATTGCTGCTACGATACCAAACTTTATGGAGGACCTTTTACCCCCTGCACTATTTAATAGTGTATTTTAAAGGTATATATGTGCCCACGTGGACACATTACTATTTCAAATGATGCAATATTTATGATGTCCACGTAGGCACATATATACCTTTAAAATACACTATTAAATAGTATAGGAGGGTAAAAGGTCATTTCCAAAGTTTGGTATCGTAACAACAATTTCGGCCAACGTTGGAATATTTTTCAGACCCTTTTCCCAATGTATTATAAGTTGCAATTCTTATCATGTCAGAGGCGGATTCAGAATTTAGATTGTATGATACGGTTCAATATTTAAGGTTTTTAGTAACGAACTAATTTTATTTTTAAAACTATGAATTTATATATTGTATTTGTTGCAATTTTAATTAATTATGATTCACGTTGAAAGTATATATTGGATTTAGGTGAACTTGGTATACATATATGATCCACCCCATTCTCTTGTCAATATGAAGAAAAAAAATAACATCTTAAAATATTGATTAAAACTTACATAATTTGAATTCAAAAATCAAAATGTTCACATATAAAATTGAAACAGGAATATATATTATAGAAAATATTATCATTGAAAAAAAGAGATCACAAGGAAGATACATATAAAGATGCACTTCCCATGTCAACTACTAGGGAAAAAAAATGTAATTCTATACTATTTTAATTAAGATTCCTATCATTTGTTTTTCAAATCTTTGATTTGATTTGTTTCCTAATAATTTTTCTTTGATTATGATTGTGATATTTCCATTTGTTCTAAGTTCTGTGACAAAAGAAATCAAATCTTTTGAGAATGGCCTGTAAAGAAGTCATAAAAATATTGGGGGTTAATTCAAAATAGTCATTGATATTATGTTTATTGTAATAATAAAATCGTAAAATTATATTTTCTTTCACATTAAAATGACCATATATTATCACGTTATAAAACTATTTTTATCATATTAAACGAACGGACAATTCAGTTATAAATTTGTGACGATAATTATAATTTGTCAAAACTCTATCAAAAATTATAATGAAATTAAGGGTCCATTACAATTTCGTCACAAATTCATGACAAAAATATTGATTTGTCATTAATTAATTAATTAATTAACTATATATTTTTCTATTATAACCCTTATTTATATATGACAGTTAAAGGACAAACACTGCATCAAACTAACTATATAACGTGCAAAGAAAATTATACTTCGAATTTGGAACAAACAAGACTCTATTCAAGACACATGTACCAACTATAATATGTGTCCTTCCTTTCATTACTCATACAATTCCTCAGAATTCACTTCACCTTAATTTTATTCGCCTACAACTCCTATGCTTACTGCCTGGATGGTCTATTAAAAGAGACAAACTAGTACGTCAATTAGGAGGAGTCCTTTAAGTCTTAAAAATTGGATAGAAGTGACAAATAATATTAATTAGATTAAAAGATGTTTTTTCAATAGTCCCAAACTTTTAACTTTTACATTTTAGTCCAATAACTGTCGTAGTTGTAGAGACAACTTCAGTAATTTCCAAACAACTTTAGTAGTTGTCCAGACAACTACAAAAGATGGTCCTTTTATTAATATTAAAAATAAAAAAGTAAAAAAAAAAATAAAGGAGGCCCACTTACCTTTTTTTTAATTGGAAACCTATAAGGCACTTTTAGCTTATTTTTCCTCAACGGCCTTCTTTGTTCTCAAACATGAGTTTTCTACTTCTTTTTTTTTCTATTAACATTAACTATGCTGGGTCTCTGATAGTTTTTCTATGTTCACTGAGTTAATTGCTCTGTTTGATTTGTGGATGCATGTTTAGAATTTATACTCTCTATTTTCATTTCCCCTTAATTGGAACATTATATTGCTACAAACTATTTGTGTACTATTCTATTCTTCACACAACTTAAAATAAAAATGTTAACACATAATATTTTAAGTAGAGTATAAAAATATTCCTTTCTTCTTCAATTTAAGTTTTTAATTGTAGTTGTCCAATGTCCAATTTTGGACATTGAAGCACTAAGATTAAGATTGTAGGTATGGCTAGGGTTGTGTATCGGTCAATTCGGTTCGGTTCAGTTTTGAAGTTTATCGATTTGACTTATTGGTTATCGATTTGTAGAGATGCTAAACCGATATCGAACCATTAAGATATTGGTTTATCGGTTTTTGATTGTTATCGGTTCGATTATCGATTTAAGCGTTAAGATTTGACACAACAAAAAAAAAAATCACTTAGAAACAAGGTGACAAACCAAATGAATGATGCACATGAGTTCACAAGTTACATCTTGCTCAAAAACAAACATTTTTACCTTGTAGAATAACCAAGTGTTTGAGACAACCAGAAATAAAAGTAGAAATCAAACTCTAAGTCAAGGACTTTATATACAAAATGGTATAAATATAATTATTTAATTTACTATCAGGTTATCGGTTAACCCGTTAAGAAAAAATCTCAAACCGTTAAGAACCGATAATTCGATAAGAAAAAAAATCAAAATCGCTAAATCAATAAAAAAATTTCAATTCAGGTTATCAATTTCGATTCAGTTTTGAACCCCTAATATGGCCATATGGGGAAAGAAAGTAATATATGTATGTGTTGAAAGAAAGATAAATGACTTGCCTGCATCTAATGATTCGATTACAAATCACTTAACTAGAATGGTATGAACTACACTCTTTTTAAATCATATTGTTTTGAGTTAGTTGATGACTTGATGCACACCAAGTGTTTGTTGTTGAAACCTGAAACAACTATATAATATTTGGTTGTTGTTTTCTATCTTTTAAAAGTCACCCAACTTTCCCAAGTTAAACTTCTATGATCATTATCCTCCAAAATATAATTTTTGATACCTATTTATTAAAATAGGTAAAATCATAGATTTTATTTTTTTAAAAAAATCAATATTTAATTATTGGTTTTTCAATGAATTTTTTATTATATTTTCTTGTTCTTTAATTTTTTTATTATCTTTTTTTGTTATTCTTCTTTAATCGAATTTAATAAGATATTATCTTGAATAAGAATATTTTAGATATGTTATGAGATTAGTCAAATTCGTGTTTTCTACAATAAGAATATTTGAGTACTGATATTCTTAGAATATTTGAGATTAGTACTCAAATATTCTTAGTAATTCCGTAATTTTCCTTGTTAATCAATTACACAAAAAAAAAAAAAATTAATCGTCAAGATAAAATCTTCAAAGTTTCAACCCTAAACAATTAGTTTTTACTAATACTGAAATATTATAATTTATATATATAGTAATATATTTAAATTTTATATTCAATATTTCCATAAAAAAAATTATTAAAAAAATTATAAAATACAAGTGTCTTCTTCCCTAGGCAATCTCCCAAGTAAAAGACTATACATACAGAAAAACCCCAATTCGAAGGATTTCTAGGGTTTTTTTTTCCACAAGTTCAACAATCATCGTACAAAGCAGCTGTAGATTCAGTACAAAATAATGTCTCAGAACGGGAAATTAATGCCCAATTTGGACCAAAACAGTACAAAGCTCCTTAACTTAACGGTTCTTCAGAGAATCGATCCATTTGTTGAAGAAATCTTGATTACTGCTGCTCATGTTACTTTATATGAATTCAATATCGATAATAGTCAATGGGTATTCAGTTTCTTTTAATAAAAATTGAATCTTTATTTGTTATGATTTCTTTTTGTGGGGGGTATGTGAGAGATTTTAGCAAAATCTTTTAGTTTTTGAAGAAGATTGTTGTATTTGAATTGAATGAGTTGGAATGGTAGATGATGACTAGTTTGGGATTTAGTGGAGTTTATTGATTGACTTGTATTTGTGTACTGATGTTGTTTTCGTTTCAAACTGTAGAGTCGAAAGGATGTGGAAGGATCCTTGTTTGTTGTCAAGAGGTAAGCAATTTTTATTTTTTTTGGTGATCATGGTGTTCGGGTTAGCTTTTGTACGCCTTGACTAATTCTATGGCACCTCCCTTGCAATAGGTACTAGGTAACTCTGACTGTTAAGGCTAGGATAGATAGGATGGGTAGAAATTACTTTGTGTTTTTTTGTCTATGTTGGAATTAATTCCAACGTGATACCTCATGGATTTCAACTCACCTTATTGACCACTAGGCCACAACCTTAGGTGTGTATGCATTTGGGGGTTTATGAACTTGCTTTTCTCTTTTCTCTTAGGCTTTTCTTTCTCTGACCTATTTCAGGACTTGATTAAATTGGTGATGTTTGAGGTGTATTTCTGTTTTTTACCTTTTTTTTTTGTGGAAAGGTTTTAGATATAATATGGTCAGAATTTGTATGTCACAGTGTTAAGTGTGAATTTTGAAGAATCTGCATTATAGAGATGTAATTTGCCTTGATAGTCAAATTATTTACTAGTAATGGAATTAAGCTGAGCACAGTAGAGAAAAATTATTATACAGTATTTCTATAGACGACCCATCTAGCTTATAGATACGGAATAAATTGATTGATTGATTGGAAGTTTCTAGATTTAATGCATTGTTCTTCATCCTGAGTTGATTTGAATGGTATAGCAATATGAGATACTTATTATTTCTTTGGTGGTGTTGCAGGAGTGCTCAACCTCGGTTTCAGTTCATTGTTATGAACCGCAGAAATACAGGTTAGTCATTTGTTTTCTGTTCAAAATGTTTCTGCTTGGACTGTATCTTTCCAGAACTTTTGCAAGGTTCTTTAATGTTGATGAATCTCAAGGGGGTGTAAGTTACCTTGGAGAATCCCGAAGTAGTAAACCTGACATCCAATTCGTGTCAAGAGATAGTAATGAAGTGGTCACATTTGCAGGAAATCACTGGAATGACAATTGATGACATTATATCTTTTAGAGTCAATGGGACTTAGTTAAGAACAGATCACAATGGAAGCAGAGAATCTGCATTGGTGATAGCAATTAGTTAGGATTAAGACTTAATTGATGTTGCTACACTTAACTTTAGGAATGGTGTTTGCTAGGAGTCTTTTTTTATGGTTAGGAGCTTGTATATTCATGCCAGTACAAGTGTAAGATGGAAAATTTTCTAGTTTTAGGAAGCTCCTAATAGTGGAATGAAATAAGGCCATATTGACATGAATTCCATGTTGCTCATAAGTTGGTACAAAATGTTGAAATTTTGCTTTCTACGAGCATGTCTTTTTAGTTCTTTCATGTTAAAGATATGACTTTATTCGTACAAGCAGATAATTTGGTGGAGGATCTTTTGGGAGATTTTGAGTTTGAGCTCCAGCTCCCATATTTATTATATCGAAATTCGTCACAAGAAGTAAATGGGATATGGTTCTACAATTCACGTGAATGTGAAGAAGTTGCAAACCTCTTTAACAGGTGACCTTTTGAATCTCTTTTTCCCTCCATAACTCATTCTTTTCCCATCTCCCACATCCCCTTTTCTGTGTGTGTGTGTGTTTAGTTCTACCCACAATTCACTGTGTTAATTCTATGAGAAAATATTAATTAGATTTGTATTGTGGAACTTTGAGGACTCAATTGCCTACGCAGTCATTCTTTTGGAGTATGTGCTTGTAATCTAATTATTCCATGATTATGGAAGTAAAATTTGCTAGTTCTGCTGCCTATAAGGTTGGACTTCTCTAGAACCTCAGTCTATAACATCTAAATTTGTTGTAATGAATAGCTCAACGATTAGCTGAATGGTATGTTTGGCTTCGTCATTGTTTTAATTAGGTGAATGGTTAGATGACGTTCAAACTTAAAGTTGCAGTTTTGTTTCATTGCATTTTCCTGATCAGTAAAGAGATAAGCTGTTTTACTTTGGCTTGGGGTTGTTATCCGTTTAATTTCCAAAACAGCTGAACTGTTTTACTCTGGTTCAGGGGTATTCTTCTTTTACCTTCCAGAACACCTCCGACTCCTCTCTTTCCATATTACCCACTATACAAGCTGAAATGGTTTGCCAGATCTTCATCTCATCTTTTCGATGAAGTTTCTCATAGAGCTATTGAGAAGTTGAGTATATGTTTGTATGACTTGAAACTTTAAGGCAAAGGCATCTATCAGAAAGGGGGGGAAAGGGTTAGAGATTCAAGCTTGCATCTATGCAAAACAACTTCTTCACTGCTTCACTCTTATCTATTTATCACCGTAATGAGGAGGGACTGGATCGGATGAGTACCCTTTTTTGGTTGTTCTGTGCACTGATTACCATGTCAATCTTCTCTTGCCTTTTCTTGTTAGCATTGTCTTACTATGCCTGATAATCTGTTTTGATATTTGACTTGTGATCAGGATACTGAGTGCTTATTCCAAGGTGCCTACCAAGTTCAAATTACCATCCAACCAGAGGTATTTTAGTACATATTTGTAAAGATCGGAATGTATTTCTTGATCAAAATGTTAGATTCTCTTCGATGTAAAAGCATTTTATTTCTAAACAGTTTGACGTTGATCTATTCCTTGATTTATGTCTCAGATATAGTAGTTTAACTTGGCACTTAAAAAGTTTTTGGTCTTCCCTCTGTTTGCTAGAATCTTGAACTGCAATATGACCGACAGAAGCATAATAAATTCAAATCGATGCCATCCTAAAGAACCTGGTCAATGAGATACTGTTTGATTTTTGCAAGGGTCGAACAGTTGAGTTACAAATACTGTTAAAAACAATTGTAGATGGTCATAGATATGGTTAAAATCTACGTCCGCAGAATGATTTTGACAGCAGAACTGTGAAATAAGAAAGTTATCAGAGTGTCACTGAGATGAGCAGGATAATGTTTGTATCTGCGGTGGAAGTATGCTTTTAGTGAAACGTGAGTATTGTTGAATGGGCCTTTGAATTGTTGGGTCTTGTATACTGTTTGAATAGATTGGCCCTTGTCCTACCATGGATGCTTACTATAGCCAACTTGCTCATAAAAACTAGCTATATGCATGGTGAAAGTGACTACGAAAAGCTAATGAGACAATACTTTGTGAGAAGTGAGTTTTTAGTTTCAAGCAAGCTACAAGATCTTTGGAGAGGTGAATAGTTTGGTGGGTTTGTTTAGGATTTTAACCATTTGGTCAAAATAGTCTGTGACTGAAGGCAAATTGCACTCAGTTGGATTCTGAGAGGAACTTTGGTTTTATGTAATTTTGATACAGTGAATTTGAAGAGCTGGAAGCAGTTCCAAGCATGTCGGTAATGGATGGTCCCCTGGAGCCATCATCTACTACATCAAATACTGCAGATGTCCCAGATGATCGTTCCTTTGTGAATTTCTTCAGTGTATGCCCTTTCTCCCTTCTACTTGCTCTTTTTTTCTCCACGTAATGTGGCTGTTATCCAGCGTTTATCTTGCAGAAAATAATGTCTTTTCCATGTGTCAGTTCTCTTGGAAGATCTGAATACTTTTTATCACTAACCTTTGCTTTGGGATCATTAGTTCTTATAATAGGCAGTCCTGTAAAATTATTAGCGACACCTTTGTATGAGATGTATACAAGATGTTAATTAACATATGGTTATTTTTAAGAATTCTCATGTGACATTCCAAACATTAAGAAATCCATCTATCAAGGGAGACCAACTGAGATTCCCTGTTATTTCTCCTAAAGAAGTAATACTGACTCATTTGATGCATTATTCCACTCTTCTATATTGGGATCATGTACTTGGTAATTTAAGTGGAGATACTATGTTTTGTTTCATACATTGTTAACTTGACTGAATTTTTAGCATTTCATTTTGCAGAATGCTATGAGAATTGGTAGTGGTCCAAATGCTACAGTTCAGGGACAGTCGTATGACTCAACTGCAGTAGTCCTACCTTCTCCTCTTCCTCCTCCTGCTGTACCTCCCTCTTCAGCACCTGCACTGTCTCAATCTCCTCTTTCTACATCTTCAACTTTGATGCCTACCGTTGATGCTCCTGAACCTGATACCAGTGCCAGAAGGTCTTCAAATCTTGTGAAGCCATCATCATTCTTTGGTCCTCCTCATTCCTCTTCTCCGCTGATACCTCCTGTTTCTTCATCTGTGCCTACTGCTCCTCCACTTCATTCCCCTGGGAATCTTCAACGCCGTTACGGAGCTCCTTTGCTTCAGCCATTTCCTCCTCCGAATCCGCCTCCATCTCTCACTCCTACTTCTGCTCCTAGCCCAAACAATGGACATGTTATTAACAGAGACAAAGTGCGGGAGGCATTTTTGATGCTTGTTCAGGTAAGTGTTCCTGAATTCAGTAGTTACTTTGCAAAGTGAACTTTTTTATGGTTCTAAAGTTTTAGAAATTTGCAATTGACTACATTTGCTCTAATAATGAATATATATATTCAAAGCGAAGGGGTCTGCTGAAGTGAGGGGGTGTGTATTTAGAAAAAAAAAATACTTCCATCAGCTTCTGACACTACGCTGGAGCTGCTGAAGAAGTCCCACATCGGTCAATTATGGGATGGATGGTCTCTTCATATAGATTGGGCAATCCTCACCTCTTGAACTAGCTTTTGGGGTTGAGCTAAGGCGAAGATCCATTTCTTAACATGGTATCAAAGTAGGATCCATCCCAATTCACGCTCACGATGTTAGGCCCCAAGATTAAAATTGTTCACACTCCAGATGTCCAACCCTAGGCATGAGGGGGGTGTTGAATAAGCCCCACATTGGTCTATTATGGGATGAATGGTCTCTTCATATGGCTTGGCCTCCTCGTCTCTTGAGCTAGCTTTTGGAGTTGAGTTAGGCCTAAGATCCATTTATTAGCAGGAGCAAATCCACATTATGAACGTTACTAAGAGTCCTCAAGTAAGAAGAAAAATGAAAAAAGAAAGAGAGGAGTCAGCAAACAATTGCGTTGAGACTTACTGTTGGAACTGGTTTTTGGTTGCTTCTCTCATTCCTTTGGGATCTAATTTTTTATCTGTTACATAGTTTGGTTGCCTTCCCATCGGGAAACGTAAGGACGTTTATAGTTTTGAAATCAAGCACCTTACTTTCTCAAGGACCGAGTGTTTTATTTGAAGGACATCTCTCAAACTCCAAAATAAATTGAAGTGTTCTTCCCACAAATCCTTGGATGAGATATCCAAAAGTTCCTGAACCCCTAAATCTCTTTCCCCATCCATTTTGGCACCCGTCAATATCTGCCCATTTCCAACTCCCTTCAGCTCCCTCTTAATTGTTTCCAGTCTGTCCTCTTTTCCATCTTGACCTTCCCAGACCTTAAGAAACTTCGCCACTCGAAATTCTCTTCCTTGACTATGAACTGAGCTATTATTGTATTAGCTTGAGGTTATTGATGAAACTCATAAACTTTAAATTCTGGACGTGCCTTTATTGACCAAGTTCACATTGAGGGGCTGATTTACAAGAATGACTTTTGATCTTGAATGATTTGCCCATGGGGCAAGTGGGGATCAAAAGTTCAAAACCGCGTATATCCAACCTAGCTCACAATTCGTTGGTTTCTAGTTTTGTTGGTGTAGCTAATTAATTAGCTAGGCTATTTTGAATACTCCTGTCTTGAGATTTTTCGCTTACATCTTATTAAATGCCTATTTTTCTTTATTAAGTTACGCATCTGATTTTCGTCTCTATTTCCGTAACAGGATGACCAATTCATTGACATGGTATACCGCGCTCTTGTGAACTCTCATCATACATGATAACTAGAGGAACCACCGCGCTTCACTTGATGACATAAAACAGTGTTACTGGCAGAAATATGGCTTCTAGTTTATCTCTATTGGGTTCCTGCTGTTTATAGCGTCTTAGAGACCCAACTTGTATATAGTATTATGGTCTTAGTTTTTACTAGTTTAGATTTGATGTTTTACCTTACATACAATGTTTGTGGGTTTTACTAGTCTGGAACTTCAATGCTTCATTTAGCCAAAGTTCCATCTCTGTGTTTTTGGTTCATTAACAATAAACAATCATGAAATTGGAGTTCCTATCTGAAAACCAGCGGAAGCTCCGCGTAGATCTATTCCACCAGCTGTGTAGTAGTTGTCGATTGATAGGCGACCCTATCTCTATGCAAAAGGAGTGGTCATCGAATAAGGTTTCCTTTCCTGCACTTTTTCTAATTTCCCTATTTGATCTAGTAAGGGAAAAGGCAGATCGCTTACCGTAAACAGGAGATCAATATCGCACAGAAGGCGATATCTCCCTATTAGAGATTTTTAAAAAAATAGTCAAACATTCTTCCTAATTATTATTTTTTTAAGTGATGTGTAAATGAAAACACGACAAGTATTTAGAGACACCATCCTATATTCTTTCATGAGTCTGATTTAAAGGGTTACCTTTTTCTTTCAAAATACATTAAGGGCCACTCAATCTTTAGTTCAACCAAAAGAGACTTTGCTGTTTGTGATTTAATTGTTGCTAACGACATTAAAAAAAATTATGATTCCGATGCACAATCAGCGAGATATGTTTACGATTTTTCTTTCTTCTTGCTGACATATCAGCAATTGCTCACTTTTTTCTTTTAATTATCGTTGTCCAGCCACAATTTTCTTATTTATATTCAACATTTGTTCTTTTAAGTTACTTCAAACTTTTTCAATATCAACTCTTTCTATCATCATATTTTATTTTTTCTAGTAAAATCTTTAATTTGAGGTAAATTTTAATTCATCTTATTTAAGTTTAAGAATTTGGTATTAATTATTTTTATTTTTTTGATTTTCCATCCGGTGTCCGGTACTCATATTGGAGCCAGACTAAATACGGATTCGCGCTGAGAAGTCCCACATTGGGGGTTAAAGTGCTCTCTAACAAATGCGACTCCGTATCCAAGGGGACTCGAACCCGAGACATCTTGGTTAAGGATGAAGGAATACTTACCACTCCACCACAACTCTTGTTGGTAGTTATAAATTATTATAGTACTGTGAAAATATTCTTCTTTAAATAGTTGTATTAATATCAATAATTTTTTGATTTTTTTTTATAGATATACATCCTTCAAATATGTACCTACATCTTAATTTAGCAGAGTATGATGTATTAAAAATTTACGCTTAACACTCTTCAGAAGGAATTTCGAATGATAGCTTAAGAGGAGAGAAAAGTTATTTATATGCACATCGCAGAGATGTTGAATTTTGGAAACATAAAGCGTTGTCCATTACATCTCTGCATTCATCTGTATTTTGGAATTTGTGGGTTTAAAGGAATTATTGATGTAGAAATTGTGTCTTATGATTTTGGACTAATTTCTACTTTAATGGCATCCAAAAACGCATATCTCTCACATTCGAGCTGGGAAGCTATCATTACATCGCAGAATGTAGAAATTTTGTCCTGAACAATTATAGATGATGTCCTATAATTTTAAATGGCACTAATAATTTAAGAATTTTCGGTAGACAATAATTGATGGGATGGTTGTCTGCTAGGGATTATCTTTATGGTGTTAGTAGAATGTCTATATCCAAATTAATCGAGTATATTAACGATTTAAATGATATTATCAATGATTTAACTGAGAATGAGGTGCAACAGAGATTAAGATTATATCTACTATAATAATGCGATGAAATAATAATTTCAGATGAATCTAATAATATAATTAATTTACATTTTCTTGATTGACATGAGAAATTCAAACGCAATGTCTACATGAAAAATGACCGCATTATCATAGTTATATAATTACTTAGGTTGTGCATCATTGCAAACATGAAACATGTTTGTGGATTTGTCTCTTTAGTGCATGTATGTAATTTACTTTTTAAATTATTATTTTTTTGCTTTAGTAATCTGCATTTTAAATTTTTATTATTATTCTAAAAATTGTTAAATTTTATTGTAATCTTGGACATGGGAGCGTATTATTCCACTGTAACTGTCACAGTTCTCTCTAAGGATCAACAACTTGAGGCCCCAACTGCATGAAAATAGATTCGATATAGAATTCATTAAAATGACGTGATTAGGGATGTACTAGATAACTTAACTGATGATCAGGTATTTAAATATTATTATTTTTATTGTAAAAAATTAATTTTTATAAAAAAATTATTCTAAACTGATATTGTTTTGTTTAAATTTTTAATTATTTATATTTGTGTTCCACTACCTAAGATGAAAATCAACATATAAATATAGTGACAAATGCATGGTTTTGACAGGGTCCAAAAGTAAATTATTTTGTTGTGTTTTATCAAATCATATGACATAAGTGTGAGATTCATTTATGTTGTAAGATTCTTTTGTACATGCACGTGATATTTTTTTGACTATAAAATATTTAGGTAAATAGCTATGAGTATTATTTGGTCCTTTTAGTATAAATGTTAGCTATCACTAAACATTTTGTTAGTTTTAACTAACATATATAGCTATTTTTATTTTTTGTCAAAATATTTTATATTATTTTACTTGCTTTTTGTATAGTTTATTTGGCAGTCTCATTCAGAAGAAGCTATAAATGAATTACTTGAGTGGTGTCGATTAGGACGATATGTCTGGATAACACATGTACTTTTTATTTGTGGAATTTATCGTTAGTGGCACATGATTGATCGATAGTTTGGTTATTTTCAACATATTTCTGGACCATACACTCGCTTTGACGAAAATCATTACGAACGGATCAAAATAACACGAGGATATAGATACATTTGACTAAGCACATTATTTATGTAAATAACGTCGAAATAACTATTTTTATTTTTTAACCAATGCTGCAATGCATGTGATCTTATCTTATCTTTTGTTTTTATCATGCATATGATGAACTTACTGATTTTGAATGGATTCCCCAACAAAACAGAACCCCTGCATCTTTTCAGAACATAAATACATTCAAATCGACCAAAATTGACGCTCTACGTCAGCTGGTTTACATGTTTAGAACTCATAATTTTATGAGAAAAAAAGCCGGCAACAAGAATGAATTTTTGTATCTCAGTAGAGAAAATGATTATGGGATAGCTATGGAGGCAACATATGTGAAACTTAAACGTTTACACTAACACACATTGAACCAATGATAACAACTTGGCTAAAGATGAGCTTCCTTAAGGTTACAAAAAGTAATGCTTACAAGCGCCTGATGCAGAAATGTCCTCCGACTTCAGGAATCAAGTGCTTTTTACTTTCCGTGATGAGGGACGACGGAATAGACTAATAAGATCGTCAAGACCCTGTTGAACAATACCATCAGATTAGTGGGATGAGTTCGCATTTTCTTTTCTGTCTTTATATTTTGATTGGTACACCAAAATAAGGGAATCAAGAGTAACTGAAACCAGAATACGTACCCTCGTGGTGATAAAAAGAAAACTGAAAAGTGTAATCAAGTATGATCCTAGAACCAACAGCAAAAGCAAGTCAAATGTCACGCTGGCAACCTGTAACGGGAACAATTTAAGCAGTTAATTATACGAGTGGTTCGAGATGCTCTTTTCTTTTCTTTTTCCTGACGAAATAAGTGGTCGGATATGCTCATACATGAGACATGGAACACTAGTGACAAGAAGAGGGTTGCATGGCTACGATCCCTTCTGTCCATATAATAACTCTTTTCAAGTCTAAAAATATAAAGTGAACTATGCAAACATGTGTACTACTGTAACAACTGGACCTACAAAACCAAACTTAACAACTACTACTCCTGCATTCCCTTGTCGTTCTGCATGCCAGCTGAAGAGATCTTATTTGCTTCTAATTGTAAGGCCAGGTTTAGTATCTTGTTATATTTTACAGGCTCGTCTTTGTGTAGTTGGTTATTTTGAACATCTTCATTTATGAAAGCTGTAATGAATATTTTCATACACGCAGCTTGTGGAAGCATTGATCGAGTTAGACTATACAAAAGGGTCTTCATTCAATACATTTAAGCAGATACTTATATTTCAAACTTCTACAAAATTACAGTATTATTTGCATAATGTTAGGAACCACAACCAAGGGGGGTGGAGTTATTTACGCACCTGATATATATGCAACTTCCCACTAGTTGAATCGTAAAAAGTGAACGTTCCATCTAGAGTCTCATGCTGTACATTCACCTCTGCAGTATGATCAGCTAATTCCTGCAGAGACATCGAAAGCATGTGTAGGTCAAAAGTCGAAACAAAAAGGCACAGTTACATTAAGGAGCTCAAATTGAAGTATGTCAGTGCTCAAAAGAAAGCCTGAAGAGGTCCAACCAAACATCTCCATGTTCACCAGTGGCATGGGACACCATTACAGGTTAAAGATGTGCCTAAAACTGATAGACCAGCTAGTGTGTGACTAAGTAATAGGTAAATTATTTGCCATTCTACTCACTTTTACAACATTAATTGCCAAAGAAAAATGACAAAGGCAAGCCATCATGATGAGGGATAGTGAATATATACAAAGATGTCCTTTACATTATACACACCAAGACATTATGAGGATATTTAAAAGGAAAAAAGAGAATCAATTAACTAATCAGTATAGTCAAGCATAACAAAATACCTTCTCCAGTGCCTTAATAAGCGGGTCATTTTTTGAAAGAAAAGGTGCCACTCGAGGTGTTGTGGATAAGAGATCTAGCCAAGACCTTATGTAGGAAGGATTGACGGCTAAGCTACTATCATCTGCAAATATGCTTATGCTTTTGTTCTCCTGGCTGTAAATGTGTCTCTGTGTATAAAGAATTTTGTTAAACACACTTGCAAAACTACTGTTGGCTGCATGAGATAGCTCACTTTATACATGAAAAATGCTTGAAACAAGAAAAATAGTAGAACATCCTTCCGATTAAATAAAGACCGAAATTTAAGTCATACAAAGCTGCAGAATAAAGGAGAAAGAAAGCATATACAAGAAAAGTTCTGATTATCTAAAATCT